AGCTGAAACAAATAGTACAAACAATTAATCTTCACGTGCTCCCAACTGACATCACTGGAGACCATTTATTCAACAAACACAGGTGATTGCCATCAGATACACCTATGCAATTTCATCCTCTTATCTGATGAGGATAAACAAGTGCAAATTTTGCTCTTAAGACATCAACTGTTACCATTTCAATTGAAACTATTCCTGTAAGATCAAAGTCTTAAGCAATATGGCGAATCAGGCCCGCAACTGGTGAAGTGGATGAATATTCCCTTCAATATATCAAGGGACTCCCTCTTTGATAAATGACATGCTTCCTTGTGCTACCACTACCAGGTCTAATAAGAAATACAAATTGGGAAAGGAGGTGTAAACATAACTGTTAAATATGGAGGTGAGCAGAGAGGGTTGAGTTTGGTGCAGCAGAAGCTTAAATCTGAGAAAAATGTGGCACATCTCAGCTAGATAGAGTCCAAAAAGGGTTGTCTTAATTGCACCAACCTGTTCTTTAATAAATGCAATCTGACCTACTGCATTTATCACACTAACAGTTATTTTGATAAAAATCCTCATTCACAAATATCAAGAAGATTAAAGAAGCAAAAATATGCTTCAACTCTTGAGAACTGACACAGACTTTGGTAAATTTGAAATCCAACTTTCTTTATGTATTTGCTTGAATCGGCCATTCTGAGATTAGTTTTTAAATGGGTAGGGTTATATAAGATATGTTTTGTGTACTCTATGAGGAGTGCATAGGAGACTTCTAGTATACCATTTTCAATGGATGCTATGAAATGTACTTACTGAGATGTGAAGAACTCTCTAAAAACTCCTTTCCCTGAAGGTCAATAAGATTTCTCTTCAGTTGCTAAATCAATGGAGATGTCAAGACCAGTGGGGTCATTTTAAATAGTACAAAGCATAGTCTGTTCTCTGTCATCAAAGAACATGAACACTCTTCAAAGTATTATCTCATTTAGAACAAGCATAGCCATATACCGTATTTTTCTGTGTATTAGACGAGGTTTTTTTACTCAAAAATCATGTCAGAAAAATGGGGTAGTCCTATACACGGATAGTGGCATGGGGGGGGGGAGCTATGTGCCGCCAGCCAGCTGGTTGGCAGGCGCGTAATTCCCCCCCATGCCGCTGTGGGAGCCGCGTGCTCTAGGGAGCGTTTCCCACAGCGGCATGGAGGGGAAGCTGCACGTTGCCAGCCAGCTGGTTGGCAGCCCATGCTCTAGGGAGCTTCCCGTCCGCAGGTGCATGGGGGGAGCAGCTGGCCACTTTGTCAACCCCCAGCAACGGCCCTGCTGGGGTGATGGTGTACGTGCAGTTCCCCCTCAAAAAAGGGCCATCTCCCCTCATTTTCTTTAAATTTAGTCCCCCCAAATAGGGGGCATCTTATACACAGGGGCATCTTATACATGGAAAAATACGGTAATCTTTGGGATTCAAACGAGTAGGAATGCTTGAGGAAGTTTATCGTTGCACATTCCAATAACAGCTGACCTGATCCACACCACCCAGACTCATTTGCAGATTGGAACATCCATCACCTCTAGAACAAACATCGTAACTAACAAAAGGCTTAGATTCAGTAAATTGGATCTAGAGAAAAGTCCATGGAAGGGGTAAGTGGAAAGTGATGTTTGTATCTCATCTTCCTCCTAAATTCTGAATAACTCATGTCCCAGCTGTCAAGGAATGAGTGGACTATGGCAAAGGGGGATGAGGTGGAAGAAGATTAGTAGAGTAGGAGTTCCCAAAGTGTGGTCCACGACTTCATTTATGTGGTCAACTGTGTGTCTGTAAACATGCAATTAAAAACCATGCAGCTTCCAGCACAGACCATTACATTTGCTTCAATGGGCACAACACTTTTTCTATCTGTAAACCTTCCATGAACATTAATGTATCTAACATTGCTGCAATGTTGGTATTTGAAAAGGATTTACCTGTGCCACATCCACTGAAACCATTGGAGGAGGAAGAGGTTAAACAAGGTTACAAAAAAATAGATTAAAAGCAGAATCCAGCACAGGTGGTTTTTATTTAATAATAAATAAAGCTCCAAAATTTACTGTGCTAATATTCTGTTTGAAACATAAAAACACATCCTTTTAAAGTATTCCAATAAAAGTAGGTTTACAACACAGTCCGAAAGCTAGCACACACACAAAAATATTTTAGGACAGTTTCAAGACCAATTTATTTTCAAGCATTGGTTACACATCCATGGTACATTGGCTGGGTTTCAGTTGTTGCTAGAGCAATGCTTTATTTGCCTTTGCAAATAGAATGTGTGAGATTTTGCTGCTGCAGTTACAAATCAATATCAAGACCTGCTTTGCTGCATTTGCCTCACCCAAGTGATAAAATGCTAAGGGCATCGAGATCACAGATGGGTGAGTTTAAGATTTCCTTAATTTTGTAAATGAACTGACTTAATTCTGGTTATTCAAACCATTAATATTTGGTGTCTTAAAAATAATAGAGGTTGTGGTACCTGAAAATCCTTTTTAAGTGTTTAAAGATTGTTATGTACTTAGTTGAATAGGGTCCAGAATGCAGCATTCTGATTGGTCCACAGGAGCCACCCAATCCAGCTCCAGGTAGAAGTGAATCCGCAAACTGATTGGCCTACAGGAGAATCCTGGAATTAGCCAATCACGTGGGGCCCATTGTGTAAATAATGTATATAAAGCAGACATTCTGGGGGGAACTTCCATTCCTCCTCACCACTATGAGCAGAATAATTAGCATGAAATCCACTCTTGACTCCGAGTATATTTCAAAGATAAAAATAGAGAGATCTGACTGGGACTAAAGGGGGATGCAGTCCAATATACCTGAAGGTCACCTGGTTGGGAAAGGGCAACGGAGATGGAGTTGTGACAGAGAATGAACCACTTCTTCTATGGTGCGATCCTATGCATATCTCAGGACCATGGCTCAGTGGTGTTGGATGCACAAGGCCCCAGATTCAGTTCTCAGCTTCTCCCAGTAAGAGAGAAAAGTTCCCTGTCTGAAATTTCAGAAAGCTGAATGAGACTGACCATGGTGTGACTAAGTAGAAGGCAACTTGAAATTCTGCATTTTCAGAGAAAAATCATTCACCCCCAAAGGGCTCTGGCTTTCAGAAACATTTCCATTATATATGAGTGTACTTTCACAATGCTTTCATAATTGTGTATTCGTTTAAAAACTCCATCCCAGAAAGAATGTTTCATGCCTTGAGGTGCTGCCATTCAAACAAGCCAGAGAACCTTGCAAATCATCTTTGTCTCGTTTGCAAGGAGTTAGAGCTATTGAAGGGAAGAGGATATTATTCCCAGGCAAATAGCCATAACAAAGCAAGTGAAATCCAATATTCTCATTACATTTCCATGGTTCAGCATTGTTTTGGGACAAAACAATTTACTGTAGGCAAAAAGGTGGCTGTAAGCCTATTCACTAAAGTAGATGAAGTTTTAATTCAGAAAAAAAAGCAGTGTGGAGAATGTTGTATTGAAAATGGCACTGATTATATCTTGTTTGGTAAGAGACTGTTAAAAAAAAAGAAATCAATTTCAAGAACCTTAGAATGACCTACCCCTTCCTAAATTTCCTAGTGTAACACGAAGTAAGTTTGCTTTTCACTCTCAAAGAGACAATGTGTGCTTTCAAATGATCTATTTATTGAGATTAGATGGCATCGGCTATTTAATGAGTAACAACAACAACAACAATTTATTATTTATACCCCGCCCATCTGGCTGGGTTTCCCCAGCCACTCTGGGCGGCTCACAACAGAATATTAAAAACACAGTAAAATATCAAACATTAAAAACTTCCCTAAACAGAGCTGCCTTCAGGTGTCTTCTAAAAGTCAGATAGTTGTTTATTTCTTTCATCTGATGCAAGGGGGTTCCACAGGGCGGGTGCCACTACCAAGAAGGCCCTTTGCCTGGTTCATGCTGTTTGTGGGAAGGTTAGACGACATTGTGGCAAAGCCACACTTTCCGGTGCATTTTGCCATCACTTTCCTTATCACAAAAATTCCAATTTAAGGGGTAGGCAAGGAGTGGAGAGAATGGACTGTTGTGCAAGATGGCCAAATAAACTGCAATTGTGCAACCTGTATTTGCTGGTATTCCAGCCGGAAATAGTGACAGTTTAAAAGTGCCCTATTTTGCATGGGAGCTGTATCTTCTGTTTCTCCTTTAATTACTGTATGTGTTGGATTTGCTGTGACAGACACTTCTAAAAACTGCTTAACATCATCTTTATTTTAGAGCTTAGGAGGAAATTGCTCCTTAGATGAACGAATGCTCAACTCTCTGTTTTATGCGCTTGGGCCATGACACAATTGGGTCATTGGAAGAATGATGGCAATGGGGGGGATGCTATTCTAATTGTTAAGGCCCCCCCCCAAAAAAAAGACTTGAAGAAAGGTTCTGTGCTTGCTTGCGTATTTGTATTGAAAGGGGAAAGACACAAGGATTGTGCAAATCTCTTAGTGTCGTCCTTAGTGCCTCATGTGATTCCAGCAGCATCTCCTTATTCAGCTAGTGTGCTGGTTGTCTGAGTAGTTTTTTTGGAATTCACTAAAATACAAAGCATTCATTTGCCCCAAGCGTTCGGTAGTGCACAGAGAAAGCGCTATGATTTAAAGACAGGAAACAACTTGCAGGTATATGAAAAAGAAGAAGAAAAAATAGGTTACCAACAAAGGTCAGGAGTGTTCTGCGTCTTAAGGAACAGGTTTCTGTTCAGCCTTGTTTTAAGCAGACTGTGTTTTTTTAATATGCTGGCTGACATGCCATTAATATGATGCTAGACAACAGGACGAGATGGTTGGACAGTGTTCTCGAAGCTACTAACATGAGTTTGACCAAACTGCGGGAGGCAGTGGAAGACAGGAGTGCCTGGTGTGCTCTGGTCCATGGGGTCATGAAGAGTCGGACACGACTAAACAACTAAAGAACAACAACAACGGACAACAGACTGCATGAAGACAAATAGGCAGCTCAAAAAAATGTGAAGAAGATTTCAGCAGCTACTTTTGATCACTGTTCATGGTGCTACAGAAGTCTTGTTTTCAGCAAAAGGTCTTTATGAGTTAATAATATATGCTCAATAATGCACCTTTTAAACCCACTATTTAGCAGCCATATTGCTGAAATGCACAAGTAAAGTCAGGTCCATGCATCACAAAAGCAACACAAAATGAACTGTATGCTTCCAATCATGGAATTTCTTTCAGATGGTGAACATTAAGCATTTCTTTGCTGCTGTTACAAAGAATCTACTTGGAAAGTGGGGATCTAAGGCATTCACCCTCATCACATGAGGGGGGCGAGGGCATGTGCGCACTGGACCCACTGTCTCCCTCAAGTCCTTCCTCATTCCCCATCCTGCCACCCTCCACATTTTGTCCAGGAAAAATCAGTAGAAGAGAGCCTGCTCTAGGTGGGTAGGGTCCCAATGTGATTTAGAACCCCCAAATCCAGGGTGAAATTGAAGGATTCTGCACAGGCAAAATATCTTAAGAATTCTAAGGAAAGGTCAAAGCGTTTTGATAAGATTAATGGTATGGGGGGGGAGTGTTGTATCCGAGCACCCTGCCTTTTCAACATTTCCACACGCACATGAAGATTCTGCTGGTGCTAGGTCAGGCATCCCCAAACTCAGCCCTCCAGATGTTTTGGGACTACAACTCCCATCATCCCTAGCTAACAGGACCAGTGGTCAGGGATGATGGGAATTGTAGTCCCAAAACATCTGGAGGGTTGAGTTTGGGGATGCCTGTGCTAGCTCTTTGACCTGTATATGTTTTGATGAGAGTGCTCAATTTGTTTGTGTATCAGTCATCCGGAAATCCTTGTATGAAAGTGCAAAAAAAATTGTTGAAGCAAATAAGTGAGTGGCAACATACTCCTATCCATGCTTACTCAGAAGTAAGTCCAGTTCAATTCAATGGGGCTTGCTCCTGGGTAAATAGGGGTGAGGAATGCAGCACATGTAAAGAAATAAATTTAGTCCAAGGATTATTCTTGGGATACGAGTCCTCTGGTCTCAGGGTTTTTGTTCCCTAACTTGCTTTTTTCTTGTCTGCGATGCTAATGTTGTATAATAATGGCATGCTTGTTGTTACTGTGGATATCCAATCACCCAGGGACTATTTGTGCTTTTGTGGATAGATCTTGTTCCCTATCACTTCCACTCATGGCTGAAAGAATGGACTACAGCTGCCAGTTTCCAACACAATTAAGGCGCAACATGCTTTCCACATAATAATCAAGGTGCATTATTCCTTCTTTAATCTTGATATGTTGTATTTTGTTATCGTTGTAGGAAACAATAACATGTTTTAATTGGAACGGTGATTTGACGGTTCTATGGCCAGGCTTGCCACTGGCAAATGTGATCCCCAGGGATGAGGGAGTCAGTTCACATTCACACTTTCAGTAACAAGATGCAAACTGAAACACCGCCATTGTTTGAAATCTCCACTTTTCTAAATTTTGCAGTGCAGTTCTCAGCTAAGTAAGATATACAAAAATGCAAATGCTAGTGTGCATAAGAATACACATGCTAGTGAAAATAACATACAGAAATGCAATAAATTAGGGGGAACTGCAAATATGTGTAGGCTGGAGAAAATCACATACAGAAATGTTTCATTAGGAGAAATGCTGAAAATTGTCACTAAAATGATAAAAAAAATACTCGTGAAGATTTTAAAAGAAACTAAATTCACAGATTGCTGTAGAAAATCGGAGCACTGAATTTAATATGGGAAATATGTGAAAATGAGGGAACTAGAAAACAGACGGATCCATCCATCCTAATCTTGACAGAGGAAGAAGAATGAGCAATGGTCAGAAATGATGGGCTTCTTAGATAATGAAGGTGGTCGCCCAAAGAAAAAGATTAATGAATCGTACACTTCATTATAAATTATACCCAGCCTACACATCATGCAAACACCTAGATATTCTTCTTCTGTATAATAGTGAAAAGAAATAATGGTTTGTGAGACAAAGTCTTGTGACTGCATATGGCTAGATTTGGTGGTAATAAGCAGGGATTCTAGAGGCAAGACCTTACTTGCAATGCCACCATAAAAAACTTCTGAAGAGAATGGAGGTGGCCCACTCTGCTGGGCTGTGGAGACACCAGTGAAGATAGCCAGGGAGTGTTATTGCAGCTGACTCAGCAGGGATCAAGTGACAGAATGGGGCAATAGAGCTCTGAATCCATAAATATGCTTTGGCGACTCATACTGACGGAACATTCCTTGGACTGTCCATTCCTCATCACTGAGTTGACTCCAGACTTCTAGGCCCAGTCAAAGCACAACGCTGTCAAGATTCTAAACTCCAGTGTTTTTTTGACTGCTCTTGGTCTTTTTCACCATGGTAAAATATCCATAGCTGCCAGCTTCTCATACCTAACGTAAATCAATAGTATGCGAGATAGGCATTTTATTTCTGAGAAAAAAAGCAAAATGTGAGCTGCTTTTGCTTATTTCTAACAGCTAATGACCTTTTCCCAAAGAGCGATTGGTTTCCTGTAGATCAAATAGAATGGTTTGCAATGGTTTCACACCTGCAACTTAAGCCAGTTACTTCTCTGGCTTTGCGGTCACGAAAGGTCAAACTGTGAACTACTTAAAGCATTAACCCATGAATATATGAAGCCTTGGACCCATCTAATACTGAAGATCAAAGCAACTAAATACATTAGGTCAATATTTGAAGGCAGCTTTTTCAATCTAATTGCTATCTCAAGAGCCTTTACTGAACTCTGCTCTGGACTCTAGGTCTTGGATGCAGATCTGAAATACCCGGTGATGCTTTGGCAACGCACATGCAGGTCACCTTAGTAGCTAGGGTGCTGCAGTAAAGTCACTGGCCTTTCTGAAATACTCTTGGCTTACTCTGAAATTCCTCAGAGATTTCTCAGGTGCATAATACTGCAAGATTTACTTTTAAATTTCACTTCATAGGAAATGAGGGATACACCAACATCCCAAATGGCAGAAGCTTCTGCAGGAATCCAATCTGAGCACTTGCAACAGCCATAGCTGTCAACTTTTCCCTTTTCTTGTGAGGAATCCTATTCGGAATAAGGGAATTTCCCTAAAAAAAAAGGGAAATGTTGACAGCTATGGCAAGAGCTCCATTGCCTCTGGTGCTGCTGTCTCTACCAGTGCCCAAAAAGTTATCTCTGAGAATGGGGCAGCAAAGGCAGTGGAGGCAGGAATTCTCAGGGCCCCAGGAGAATTCCGTGTTGTTTTTCCCCCCTTCCTATGGATTTTGGGATTGATAGTGTTCCACTGGGGATCCAGGAATGTCCACTGCTGATATCTGTGCCCCAAATCTAGTTACTGGGCAAGGGAAGGAAGAGACAGCAGTGGTAGCAACACTTGCAGGATTGGGGCCCTGCTTGCTTTTATATATGATATATTGTTTGCCAATACATCAACAGGGGATCTTGCTTTTTGCAACATCTCCATATAAAAATTAAATGGCACCTATAAAACCATTCATATTAACTTTCCTTATTATGTGGAAAGTTTCCTCACGACATCCAACCTTAGACTGTTTGTTAAAGCAGCTTATGAGGATTGGTTGTGGGCAGAAAGTTAGCAACAGTAGTAAGACTTTGTAATAGTTACTTCGTATTTTTACTTTGTAAAAATAGAGTGGACATGTTTTGATTATTTTTTGGGTGAACACCTGTATCTTTGTCTATGTTTGTCTGTATCTTTGTCTATGTTTTGTCTATGTTTTGTAACTGCAGCTAGCAACTCTTAGTTCACAGTATGACAATATTTTTTTACTGCAGAAAAGCAGTTTTAATGTCCATATAGCAGTGAGGCTAAAATCTGTTGCATTACACTACAGTACATTTGCTTTCTATATCTTTTCAAGTTTCTGTCTCAAATTAAACTGTAGGTCATGCACTCAGTTGAATTTCAACTGATGGATACTCTGAGCTCTGCTCTCTGCCTGCCCCAGAAATCTGTGTGTCTCATTTAAGATTAGGGACAGATCTGGGTTACAAGCCAGGCTCTAATTCCTCAGAGAATTCATGAACCTGGAATTCTAGGTATGCATCCTGATATCTGCATCATCTGCAAGGGACTTAGTCAGCCTGCAATCTCCATCTTATAACAGAGACTGCAAGTTGACTTCATAATGACAACATCCAGTCTACTTTTTGTATGCTTTTAGGATTTTAAAAGTTTAACAATATAATAACAATAATTTATTTACACCCCGCCCATCTGGCTGGGTTTCCCTAGCCACTCTGGGCAGCTCACGACAGAATATTAAAAACATGATAAAAGATCAACATTAAAAGATCAAACAGGGCTGCCTTCAGATGTCTTCTAAAAGTCAGCAGTTGTTTATTTCCTTGACATCTGACAGGAGGGCGTTTCACAGGGTGGGTGCCACTACCAAGAAGGCCCTCTGCCTGGTTCTTCATTTTTTCTTCATTATCCCCCTAAGCTCTGATTTGTGTTACACTCTTCCCGAAGAATTCTGAAAGACTTGAAAGCTTGTCCCATTGGGACAGGTGGAACAGAATGCATAGAGACCAAGAGTAGGCAGAGCAGCACCTAATAATAGGTGAACCCAGAACCAACTAATTCTAGATTTGACCCCATCCTCCTTTCTGCTGAGTTGTACAATGTAAACACATAAGGTAAAGAAACACCCCACCCCGCTGGACCTGTTCTAAGCAAGTAGGCAGGCAGGTGAGGTAAGGAGAGATGGAGGCCTCCACTGCTTGCCACACCTTTGTGACATGTTGGTTAGGCCCAATAAAAGCATTGCCCAACTGTGAATTTTTGATTCAAAGCTAAATAATGTAAACGATGCCTGTGATGCTATGACACTGATGGCCCCAGAGATAAGATTAGAAATGCAGGTTTCAAGATGCATTCTTTTCAAAGCCCAAACAACTTTGCAATGCACTCTGTATGTAGCAGCAACATTCTTCAGCAAACAGCAGAACATTGTCGACAGCACCCAGCAGATTAACCCTACCGGAGGTAAGAGAAAATCCCCAAGCGCTGAGCTCTTCTCAGAAATCCTGTACTGAACAAGCAATGGCTGGAATGGAGTATTTGTGTTTTGTGTAAGTTAGCCTTTGGGGAGGAAAAAAAGGTGACTAAAAATAGCGGCTGAGATTTCTATCTGATCGGCACAGAGAATAAGTTGCTCTGACATAGAAACTCTTTTAATTCCTGAGCTGTGTAGATTCTGTGGATTTCTTTTCTGCTTCTCCTTCTTCTTGCTTGTGAGATACTTCTGCAGCTACTTCCCATTAATGTAGTCAAGATGTTTAATTATGTAAATTCCTTACACATTAGAGTATCCTATAAAGCAGAATGTACAATTAGCTTCTAATGTAAGATCCATTTGACACTAATCAAGGATTTATATTATCAGCAGTAATGGGAGAAAATAGAAGTGTTTAGACCCACAGAATTTTCATTTCACAGCCAAGAGATATCCAGATTGAGGATTAGCATGTACAAGTTAGACAGCAACGCAGTTTCACCAGAGAACCCTTCAAGACAGAGACAGGGGAACCTGTGGCTTTCCATATTCTGTTGGGTTCCACCTCCCATCAGCATGGCCAATGGTCAGACATGATGGGAGTTGTAACCCAAGAATATCTGGAAAGCAACAGATTCATCATCCCTGCTTTAAACTGGAGGACAAAACTTCTGGAGTGGAACTTGACTTGATGGGCAGCCACCCTAGTTAAGAAAATGTGCCTGCAACAAACAAGGCCTGACCTGGCCAACGTGCCCTCTCATCTGCCTCACCTTCACAGTGACAACTTTGCCAAGGTGATGCCAGTGCTAATCTAGCTTGGTTCACATGCAGTTGCACCTTAAGCCTGCCAGGAGTGAATGAGGGCTATCCTCGCCTGCGCTGTGTTCAGTGACACAAGGACTATACTTGAAAGGGGAGGAATGTTACTGAATGATAAGATACGACTGCGTGAGCCCAGGGATCCGCTATGCATTGTGAATTAGGAGGTAACTCCGCCTACTGAATGTACAAAGGAGCATGTGATGTGGCTCTCTCTCTCTATAAAGGCATATATGTGAATAAGCTCACCCATTCATGCATACGAGTTCATTCAAAAAGGTTCGCACAAACTGGACTTAAGGACGTACAACCATATGCATGTTGTGCCAATGGCATATGCTGCCCTGTACATAGAGAGAAGGGTGTTCCCATTTCCTCAATCACATAAAAGGTAAAGGGAACCCTGACCATTAGGTCCAGTCATTGCCGACTCTGGGGTTGCGGCGCTCATCTCGCTTTATTGGCTGAGGGAGCCAGCGTACAGCTTCCGGGTCATGTGGCCA